AGAAGCCGACGATGGCAGCTGCGACGATGGACCACCGGATGGTGGCGACTGTGGAGCCTTTGAAACGGCTGGTGAAGGCAGTAGTCGTTTGTCTGAATGTTAGTCAACACAATGATGTTCGGAAAAATTAGCTTGAAATGCGTTACACTGTTACAGAATCCCTGGTTTTGCGTTTTTTTGCATTTATGCAACGCAAATAATTGATCAGCGCACCGATTGCCGTTGCGAAGTTCTTTCACAATTCTCCGAAGGGGGTTTTTGTTACTAACGACACTGTTTTTTCCGGCACATGCTTCTAGCTAAAAGAATTGAGACTGGTCACCAGGAATGTCAGAAAACATCCTTTTAAAATTTCACCTTTCTAGCTTTTCTGATTGCCGAGTTTGCAGTTTTCCCCCCAAAACTTTCAAGTGTTTGAATACGGGACTCAGATGTGCATGAGCGTTGGCACCGGGGTCTTGGGGTGGGCTTGGCGGGGTACCACAGTGTTCTGGAGTGGGGTTTACATCATAATTATTTGGAATATTTAGAACATCTGTAATTCATGATTTGGCTTTCCAGCTATTAGCTTTCTGACGTTCCCATCTTTCATGTCATCTCCCGAGGCGCAGCGGTTCTTCCTTCAAAAAAACTTCGCAGAACTTTAGTGTTTCGAAATAGTCTTACTTAGGTATCACTAGCTCGGCCTGAAAATTGCCACTTCTGGGCAATCATGAGGAAAATTCCTAAATTGTAGGCATTAAGTCACGTCCGATATCATTCATACATACCTCTGGATGCTTGTTTCTACAAAACTCGTGCTTTTTTTTCAGCAGTGGGAAGCGATTCGCAAGCATATGAGCAGTATACGATGGGGCCGACATTCACCCGAGCCGTACTTCCTCCCGATGCAAAGGTGCTGATGCTGATGAAGCCGAATGTGCCGGGTGAAAAGCAACGGCTGGTGAAGTTGGAACCAGTTGCCAATCCGGCCAAACCTGATTTCCGATTTGCTTTCGAGACGCTACGTAAAACGGCAAAAAAGACCGACCTACGAAAGTCCGCTGTGCGCACGCGCAAACGACGAATCATACGGTCGCAGAATGAAACTTCTAAGGTTCGCTGTTTTCCTAAACTCGTTTTTACTTTGCCCAGGCATACCAGTAAATAGCAACGCGCACCAGACTAGCCGGTGCGATCATGCGTTTTGTGCAATTCAGCTCATCGAACGATTGCCCATTAATGATTTTCACTGCTTTATACTTTAGTCTATGCAAAAGTAGCTCAAACATTGAAAAATAGTTAAAAATTTCACGCACCTGCGCATGAAAGCTGAATTCGAGTTTACCCGCCGAAATTTTCACGATGCCGTAAGTAATACTCAAGAGCGCGGGAACGCTAAATTTGAATGGGTAAGGTTGAGCGTGGGCAGGAGGTCATTACTCTGAAATTTCAGCCTCTTAGACTCCGTGGTTCTCGAGATATTAATTTACCCGTAAAAAGCTTTCACGAGGTCGTACGTGTTACCCGCGGGTACGG